CTCTCCATCTTAATCACATATGCTAGAGACCAGGAGTTTAAGACCAGCCTGGACAACATCGCAAGATCTCTGTCTCTGCCAAAAAAAAAAAAAAAAAAATCAAATCAGAAAAACAACAACAAAAAAATAATGGTTTATTTCATTGTCCTCCTAAGGTTTTCTTAAAATTGATTTTTAAGTGTTCGTTACTTTTTACATTATTCATCTACCAAAATGACTAAAATAAGACAAACTGCCAATACTAAATGTGGAGGAGGATATAGAGCCACTGGAATGTCCATACGTTGTTGGTTGGGTAACATGATACAGCCACTTTTGAAAAAGGCCTGGCAGTTTCTTTTAAAATTAAAGATACAGCTACCGTATGATCCAACAATTCTATTACTAGGTATTTACCCAAGAAAATAACAACATATGTCCACAAAGGACTTATATAAGAATATTCATAGCAGCTTTATTCATATTAGCCAAAATGTAGAGATAGCCCAGATATTGTCAGTGGGAAAATAGATATACCAACTGTAGTAACTTTAACAATTGGAATGCAGTTTAGCAACAAAAAGGGAGCAAACCAGAGACATATGCAATAACATAAACAAATGTCTAAATTGTGCAATGTGAAAGAAGTTTTGCATAATGAGTAGAGTCTGCACTGTATGATTCCAACTATATGAAGTTCTAGAACAGGCAAAACTAATCCATAGTGAATAAAATTAGAACAGTGGTTCTTTTTTTTTCAGATGAAATCTCACTCTGTCTCCCAGGCTGGAGTGCAATGGCGCCGTCTTGGCTCACTGCAACCTCCGCCTCCCGGGTTCAAGCAATTCTCTTGCCTCAGCCGCCTGAGTAGCTGGGACTACAGGCACGTGTCACCACGCCCAGGTAACTTTTTTGTATTTTTAGTCGAGATGGGGATTCACCATGTTGGCCAGGATGGTCTCGAACTTCTGACCTCAGGTGATCCGCCTGCCTCGGCCTCCCAAAGTGCTGGGATTACAGGCGTGAGCCACTGCGCCCAGCCCGAACAGTGGTTCTTTCTGGGGTAGTTAGAATGGAGATTGACTGAGACAGGTCATGAGACGTTTTGGGGTGATCATTGTTATTTTGATAGGGATCTCAGTTACATAAGTGTATGGATTTGTCAAAAAGAGAATGTTCACTTAAAATTTGTACATATCATTATGCATTCCTTAACAATAACTATAAATAAAATTAAACTCTAATGAAATGTATGCTGAACTATTTAGGGAGAAGTGATGTCTGCAACTCATTTTGAAATGTATCAATAAATTAGATGGATTGATGGATGGATAGGGGTGAATAGTTAGGTAAATATGTGATAAAGCAAGTATAGTAACAAGCTATGATAGAATCTAGGTGGTGGGTATATGAATGTTTAGTGTTAAATTCTTCCATATTTTATTCTACTGAAACCCTGTGTTTCTGAAAATTTTCATAACTTATATTGGATATAAGTTCATTAGCTTCTTTCATCTTCCAAAATCGGTACATCCTCCTCTTCGCACTTCCTTTGGTTCTCACGGTTTCTGGAGGCACAGACAGCCTTGAGACTACAGCTACCCATGCAGTGCTATTTGAGGGACTCCAGAAGGCTTCTCTGCTCAGCATCCCCCCTCACCTCCTTCTCCTACCAGTCACAACAGAAGGTTTCTACTAAGCATTTATTTCTTTAGACCTAGAGGGAGTTTAGGTCATCACAAATCTCCTATCAATATGCAAATATGCCCATGTCAGGGAAGTAATTTAAACCTGGGGGGACTTACTTGTCAAATAAAGGAAAGCAGAGTCTTTTGTGACAGTAAATAAAATATACAGGAGATACGGACAAGAAAGAGAAAGACAGAATCTATGTGGGAGGCTAAGACATATCAAAGCCAAACTACAATATACAGTTTTGCCTAGAGTCAGGAGTTTGAGACCTGGCTCAAACCTTAAAAAAGTACCATTTATCTATAGGGAACAACTCTAATCCCTGTTCTTCAAGGGATAACAGCCAGAACCTAGAAACAGAGTCAAGATCATGGTCATCAAAAAACACCTCTCTGGCCCCAGCCTTGCTTGCTCTACAGAACTGAAGTTCCTCAATTTCCTCCACTTCATTCTGGGAGGCATTAGACAATGTCTTGTGCACGCCTGAGGATGAATCCTCTCTCGCTCCTTGACCTGCTGAGGCTGTGAGTTTCTCCTGGGCATGCCCCCAAGGCCTGTGCCAAAGGTCTGGATGCCTGCCTGGAGCTGATTTCCTCTCCCATGCCATCTCTGGTCCAGAACTAGGCCTGGTTCAGCCCATGCCTCTGCTCAGCTGCTTCGCCCCTTCTGAGTTCTAAGACCTGAATGAGGAATGTTCCCTTTGTCCTCTAAATCCCCAGGTTTTCCCTAGAAACTTCACTGAAACCCTGTTTTGCATATACATATACACACACACACACACACACATTTATATACACACACACGTGTGTGTGTGTGTGTGTGTGTGTATATATATATATATATTTTTTTTTAAGACGGAGTCTCTGTCACCCAGGCTGGAGTACAATGGTGTGGTCTCGGCTCACTGCAACCTACGCCTCCCGGGTTCAAGGATTCTCCTGCCTCAGCCTCCTGAGTAGCTGGGACCACAGGCGCGTACCACCACACCTGGCTAATTTTTTTGTATTTTTCTTTTTTTTTTTTTTGAGATGGAGTCTTGCTCTGTCACCCAGGCTGGAGTGCAGTGGCGCGATCTCGGCTCACTGCAAGCTCCACCTCCCGGGTTCACGCCATTCTCCTGTCTCAGCCTCCAGAGTAGCTGGGACTACAGGTGCCCACCACCACGCCTGGCTAATTTTTTTGTATCTTTAGTAGAGACGGGATCCCACTATGTTGGCCAGACGAACTCCTGACCTTGTGACCGCCTGCCTCGGCCTCCCAAAGTGCTGGGATTATAGGTGTGAGCCACTGTACCCGGGCTCCTGTTTTGCATTTTCGATTGCAGCCTCTTCTCTTCAAGGCTTGGGTACAGTTCATGGGGTCAAGCCTGGGGCCACCTGTGGGACAGACTAGGGCTGTACTGACAGAGCCACCCCTTATCACTGACTCAGTTTTCTTGAACTATCTTGCAACTCTCTTCTCTTTCCTCAGGATGAATTCTGAGTTCATTCTAAGGAAAGAGAAGAGAGTTGCAAGATAGTCCAAGAACTAAGGCTTTTTGGTCCTTCATGTAAGTAGGCCACCCATAAGTGTTTCCCCTTCTGTTTCTTTTGAGGCAAGACTGAATAATAAGGAGATCCCAGCTGAAGCTATCAGGATGGGACACTAGTTTCTGAATAAAAATAAATGGATGCAGACTTCAAGTTACATTACTGCATTCCACTGAGAGAGAGTCTTATATCTTCACCTCCTTGCTTATGAGCTTGGCCATGTGATTTGCTCTGGCCAATGACACATTGGCATATGTGACACAGAGTCTTGGAAACAGTTCTACAATGGGAGCTGACTTCTTTTCTTCTTTTGGAAGACAGTAGCCAGTAGCCTGAGGTACCTGCTAGATGCTGCAGACACAGGCCCAGTTGCCTTTGCACCATAGCCAACCACCAGATGTGTGAGTGGGGCCATATCTGATCAATCAGTTTCTGGCTGACCTGCCAGCTGACTGCAGCCACATGCGTGAGCCCAGGCGGTGCCAACAGAAGAACCACCTAGCTAAGCTCAGTTCATATTGCCAACACCTGGAATCATGAGCTGCTCAGTAACTGTTGTTTTAAACCACTACATTCTGGATTGATTTGTAAGGCAGAAACAAATAAATGATACACTGTTGGGTGGGCAGAAGAGGGAATGTGGAATTGATGGAATAAGCATCCATAATTGATTGATAAGACCTAAGGTCCTCTTCAGATTCTAAAATTATATGATTTGGTGAGAAAATCCCAATGTCTGCAATAAGTATAATGCATGTAATTTAATTTAAGAACTTCTCTTCTCCTCTCTTTTACATTTAAAATCCCACAGATATGTGACTGATTATCTACACAGGGATCTTATTACTTCTTGGCCATGCCTTGTTCTGTTGCCACCAAGTACTCCAAGTACACAACCTCTCTTAAATGTGCACTGTTTGTAAACTTTAACTTTGCATGATTCATATCCTAATCTTGAATAAGAGCTATATACACATAAAAAAGAGTTGAGACTTATGTATGAATTAATTTTTTAAATAAAAAGATATTGAGATCACTTGCGAAGTCACACACCACCATAAAAAAAATGCGGCTGCCATAACATTAAAGGAAATTACCTCTAGGCTTCTATCCAGTATGATGCAATTTTCAAGGACTAAGACAGAGGCCTTGAAAATGAGCGGTAATAATGGAAATGCTGACGTATCCATAACTCTCACTGCTTAAGGAATGGCAAAGAAAGACTAGAATAATAATGACACATTGTGAATCCCCAGTATTTTTACCTAGTGTTGGCAGCAAGTGATGGAACAGGTTTTCATAATAACATTATAATTAAACTACAAATTGTTTGTCTAAATAATTTCTGAAAGTCAAGAAAAACAGCGCTGTATTTAGTTTGGGATAAGATTTCATTTTGCTGAGGTTTTTGCTTCCTGCTCCCAAGGGAGAGGTTTCTCAGATAAGACACCACCCTGTCCTGGTTTACATGCCTGGTGTCCACGGAGGGAAATGCAGGACGGAGGCAGATGCATCTTTGTAAACAACAGGTAGTGTCGCATTAAGGACTGTAGGCCTGGAGCTCTTGGAAAACGTCCTTTTTCACCTCCCCCCTCGCCTTCCCTGGTTTTGACATAGTTTTCTCTTTGAAAACACAGGGCTATCAGGAAAGACTGTGAACAGAGTCTCATCTCCATTTATGCTCTCCCTGTACCCCCTGCTCTGCTTGCAAGTCCCCCGAGGACCTCAAAGGGTGTCCTCCTCCAGATACTGAGAGCTGACCCAGCAGGAGGGGCCCAGGATAGTTTGAAGGTGCAGCCACCCTTATTCATTACAGAATGTCCTCTCTTCTTATCTTGCCTTTTTTTAGCCTGAAGGACAAAGAAAAAGAGAGGCGTCTCGATTTTCCTTGTTAATCTGCTCCAGCTGGCAGCCTGTCCAACATTTGAAATCATCTGTGATGTAACAATTATTTTTTTAAAACACTAACATCCCATTTTATGTAATTTGATGGGATAACAGGATGGCAATTCAGCTTAGAAAACATTTTGACCAGCAATCATTCAGACAAATAAAAATGAGGACAAAAAGGATGACTGCGACAAGCAAACTAGAACAGCCTGCTATGCCAAGAACTTCACATGAATCATGCTTTCCAAAGGCCACATTGCTTATCTGTTCTATAATAACCTGGAACCTCCTCCTCATCAAGTCTCTCTTGGGCTCCTTAGTAGCCCAAGGTTGGCAGATGTACGGACTTAGAACAGATGGATACCCAGAACCTCAGACTCACAGCTCAAGGGACCTCAGCGTTCATTTTTGTTCACCACGGATTCCCCATGCCAGTTCGGGAGTTGGAGAAATTGGTGTAGAGTGGACTGGGTTGAATTGTGCCCTCCAAAAGGATATGTTAAAGTCCTAACACCGAGTACCCATGAATGTGACTTTCTTTGGAAATAGTGTCTTTGCAGAGGTAATCAAGGTTAAGACGAGGTCATTAGAGTGGGCACTAACAGGACTGGTGTCCTTAAAAGAGGAGAAGAGATACTGGAACAGAAACACATGAGGGGAGAACTCCATGTAATGACAGATAAAGAGGCTGAATATTGCAGTTGCAGGCCAGGGCGTGCCAAGAATTGCGGGGAAACTACCAGCAGCTAGGAAGAGGCAAGGAAGGATCTTGTGCTACAGGTTTCAGAGAGGGAAGGGCCAGCGGACACCTTCATGTTGGGCTTTTGGCCAACAGAACTGTGAGACAGTAAGTACCTATTGTTTTTGTTGTTGTTGTTGTTTTTCTGGAGATGAAGTTTCGCTCTTGTTGCCCAGGCTAGAGTGCAGTGGCGCCATCTCGGCTCACTGCAACCTCTGCCTCCCGGGTTCAAGCGATTCCCCTGCCTCAGTCTCCCAAGTAGCTGGGACTATAGGCATGCGCCACCACACCTGGCTAATTTTTTTTTTTTTTTTTTTTTTTTTTTTTTTTTTTGTATTTTTAGTAGAGACAGGGTTGCTCCATGTTGGTCAGGCTGGTCTCGGACTCTGACCTCAGGTGATCCACCCGCCTCAGCTTCCCAAAGTGCTGGGATTACAGGCGTGAGCCACTGAGCCCGGCCTAATAAATACCTATTGTTTTGGTGATGGCAGCCCTAAGAAATGAAGACAGAGAGCTTAGGCAAATGTCCACGATCACACAGCCTGTGATGACAGAGAAGACTGGCGAGTGTAGGCCCTGCCATCCCCATTCCAGAGCTCTGTCCTTTGTCCAGGGCTTTCTTCCTCTGAGGCTTCATGCATCAGTTGTCTGTGTATGTTTTCTCTAGCTCTTATTTTTGTTCTGGATTTCTATAATAATTTCCTTCAAATAGACTTTTCTTGTCTCCTGACCCCTGCTACATACAACTTTTTATTTGGAAAAATTTAAAACCTAAGATAAATTCAGAGAATAAGTCAACGAACACTCCTTTCACCCTGATTCACCGATTCACATCGTGCCATGTCTGTTTCCCTCTCTTTTACTTTCTCCCATGTGTATTTACTTTTTTCTGGAACCATTTGAAAGTTGCAGGTCTCATGACATTTCATATCTAAAATATTTCAGCATGCATCTCCTAAGGACAAAGACACTCTCATAACAATCAGATTCAGAAAATTTAACACCAATTCAAAATCATTACCTAATAAAATGACCATATTCAGATTTCTTCAATTGTCCCCTAAATGTCCTTTGTAGATATTTCTTCCTTTCTTCCATTTCTTCCCCTCTACTTTCCTTTCCTTCATTTTTACACCCACCACCCAATCACCCAGCCATCATGTCTCTTTAGTCTCTTTTAATTTGGAGCATTCTCCCACCTTATGTTTATTTATCTATTTTTTCTTTGTCTTTCACAATATTGACAGTTTTGAAGGGTCCAAGACATTTGCCCTACATTATGTCCCACAATATGAATTTGTCTGCTTGTTTCCTCATAATTAGATTTGGATTAGATATTCTGTGGTAAGAATTTTACCTAGGTGATGCTGATTACATAGGCGATTGTATCTCACTGGGAAGAACAGGATGTCAGTCAATCATCACCCTTATTACTGATGGTTAGACTCACTGGTTATGGTGGTACCTGTCAGATAGTCCCAATGTAAAGATATTTTTTTCCTCATTGTAATTAATCAATAATCTGTGTGAGATATTTGAGAGAAGACTTGTTCTTACTCATTTAATAGAGTACATCCAGAGTTAAAAACAATATTGACTTGATATTAGATATCTCTCCATAGCTGAAATGCAAACCCTAACATGTCCTTTTATTGTGTGTGTGTGTGTATGTGTGTGTGTGTGTGTGTGTGTGTGTTTTACAAGGGGTGGAGGTTGGGTTAGGTTAAAACTAACCTTCCTCTTTTATAAACCACCAGCCTACAGACATCTGAAGGTCATTCTCATGCCTTTATCAGTACATGTATAATATTATCCAGGTTTTGGCCTCATCTAAGTTTCTGACCCCTATTAAAATTTGTGTGGAAACTTCTTAAGTTTATGCCTTCTTAAGGCATAAAAGGTAAAGTGTATCTTTAAAGGTAAGTTATGTATATAAAAAGGTAAGTACATCAAATAACAAAATGCTAGGTAGGTAACCCCAAGGCTTAAAGCATAAAATGACATTATGTAAATCAAAGTTTTGCTTCTCAGCATGTCAAGGCCGAAGGATCACGGATAACATAGAGCTTATTCTATGACACTAGCAGCAGGGTGATATTTTCCTTGCTGGCTACCACAAAGGACGTGAACTTGAGAATGCAGAACAAAAATAGATCTCCAAAGCCATGTCAATCATTTTTGAGAGGTCAAAAATACTCTCTGCTTTAAGTGGAAGTTACTGCTTTGGTAATCAGTGTAACAACATTAAAAACGCACACCTGTCTCTGAGTGAGTCTCAAACACAGTGCTCAGAGTGGAAAACACACCAAGCCCACCCTCAGAGCATTCCTTTGCCACTGTGGGGCTGCATCTGCTGTGGGATTCCTGTGGAATTCTTTTTGTATCATTTCCCCACTAGGTTGCAAGTTCCATGAGAACAGGATCTTTGTCCTGTTTTATCTCCAGTGTCAAGAACACTGTCTGCCACACATTGGGTGTCCAATAATTATTGGCTGGATGAATTAGTGACTAAAAGTAGTGCTCTTCAAAGTTAGGTCAACTCAACCTTTCCCTAGACTTTCTAAGCAGCAGATGTAACCTTCTGTCTCCTCCACTCCCTTTTAACTTAATTACAAAATTTGTTTCTGGGGAGTGTGTAAAGGAGGATAAAGGAGCCCTTCTCAGTTTCTCTCTCTCAACCTCTAACCGCTCAGCTAGTCATTTCAGGCAAGACAGGCTTCAAGGCACAGCCCTGTGTGCCAGATCAGGTTAGGATTGCTCTCCTAGAGGCCATGTATCTTCTTTTCTTTGCAAAGCTGGAACCAGGAAGGACTCACCCATCCTCACTGGTGAGCTCACCTCTTTCCAGTATTTTCATTGCTGAGTTGCTAAAGGTCATGAGGAGAGGGCAGCCTCAGCATTGTTGATAGAATATGTAATTTGTCTAAAACTTTATATTATTTCCCAGCATGACTTTGTCTAGAAGTAATGCAATATCAAATTTTAATTTGCTTAAATATGTGACAGCTAACCAAAATAAATTATCTGCCTTTTGACGATTAGCACATTTATTGTTCATGTGTAGATGCCTTTGTTTCAAGGAACCTGAAAGAACCAACCAGTGCATACGAATCAGCATCCTCCAGACTCAAAGATAGTAGGTAGCCAGTGAACAGGAGAGGACAGAGAGGGCAGGAGAGAAGCACTCCTTCCAGAAGAAACAGCAATAATACCACTTAAAATATAAAAAGTAGTATCATGTGCTAGTGCATGTATAAAACTTCTGTTTACAAGAGGCCTGTGAAATAAGAACCATTATTCCCATTATAGGGAGCAGGAAACTGAGGCTTAGCAAGGCTGTGACTTGACAGTAGCAAGGGGTGGAGCAAGTATTTGATGGGGCAGGTCTGACCTCAGAGCCCTCGCTTCACCACATGCATGAGGAGTGTGTCCAAGTGTACGGTAGAGATGGAAGCCTGTTATTTACTATTGTTGTCTGGCAAGTTTTCAAGGAAATCTTTTTGATCATTTCTTAAAATGCTTACATCGGGAGAAACCCAGGACAGATGAACTCCTGTTAGATTACTGCCTCAGAGTTCAGATAGAGGAATCCCTATACTCTTCGTAAGCATCTTTTTGATTATTTAGTCCTTTTATCATCATTGTGGTTCTCCTTGAATCGCACTTCAAAGATGACACATTCCCGAAAAGTATGGATATAGTTCAATTCCAGAGAGGCATTTATGTGCGAATCCATGCAAAGCTCTGCTATTATAGGTGCATTGAATGAAGGACACTGGGCACAGTCAGCCTTCATCATGGCCAAGTTAAAGATTATATTACTGCTGACTTGCTTAGACACCCGGATCCAATGGCTCATCCCTTCTCTCTTCCCCTTGCAAAACATCAGAGGGCAAAAAGACCCATATATACAAAGGTCCTTTTTATTTTTTAGCCTAACACCTAGAAATAAGTAGAAGGTTTACATTCATCAGGCCTAATTTTACCTAAACTGTATAAGATTTTATGGGGGGGAAATCCTTCCCAAACCAGTTTCGTTTCCATGTTGGCAACAGCCGCTTTCCACAACTGCAGTTCACATTCTCTACCACTGTGGACACAAGTTCCCTTTCCCACTACTCACCTTCCCCCTCACTCCCCGAGACACATACAAGAAAAGCATTGAAAACCCGTTCTAAAAAGCAAGCACAGGCTAGGCGTGGTGGCTCACACCTGTAACCCCAGCACTTTGGGAGGCCGAGGCGTGTCCTTGAAATCCAAAAAGTTAGGAGCCATGTTATAAACTATTACATTTAAGCTGGAGTTGGAAGAGACATGCTCCTATATCAAAGAGTTCCTGCAATTTGCTTGTCAGTGGCTTCACCACATCTGGGTTAAGGGGAAATTAATTTGCAAGAAATAAAAAAAAATGCTTGCTTTTTTCTTTTTTTTTTCTTTTTTCCTTGAGACAGAGTTTCGCTCTTGTTACCCAGGCTGGATTGCAATGGCACGATCTCAGCTCACTGAAACCTCCGTCTCCTGGGTTCAAGCGATTCTCCTGTCTCAGCCTCCTGAGTAGCTGGATTATAGGTGCCCACCACCATGCCCAGCTAATTGTTTTGTATTTTTAGTAGAGACAGGGTTTCATCATGTTGACCAGGCTGGTCTTGAACTCCTGTCCTCAAGTGATTCGCCCACCTCGGCCTCCCAAAGTGCTGGAATTATAAGCGTGAGCCGCCACGCTTGGCCAAATTTTTAAAGGCATAAAGACTATGTCTTACTCTTTTCTCCATTTGCAGAACACAGCAAACACCCTAGAACACAAACATTCGAAGAATATTTATCCAAGTAGTTTGCATAGAACTAAGTCAAATGTAAAGAGAAGTTTCTCTCCCTAGCATAGAACTAAGTCAAATGTAAAGAGAAGTTTCTCTCCCTAGACAAAACTGATCACCTTATTTGCAAACTGGCATACCACAACAGGCCCTGAAGGGAAGCCCCAAGATGTAAAGAAAGTTATAAGAACATTCAAATACCACAGGCACATAGCAATGGCTTGAGAATTGAAATTGAAATTGAAATTGAGCTAATTAGTAAACACCATTGTTCAGAACAGTCTTGGCTAAGTAATAGGGGTTGTGTTTAAACCTTCAGGGTGACATCCATTTATACATACTTCAAGTGGTAATGGAATTTCCAGACGCAGAATAGAATAAGTGCCATCAAAAGGGAGGGTAATTGCCAACTGCAACTGAGATCCTCAGTGTTCATTTATCCAGGTCATTGATTCGTGAGTCATGGATTCGTGGAATGAAAACCGAACACTGAGCCAGCAGTTCCCTGAAACTAGGAAAACAACAAGTTCTTATTTCCCTGACAAAATCTGGCTACAGTTCAGCAATGCAGTAAAAAATATGCTCCATAAAAACATCTTTATGGATTTTCTCATTACATTGACAATTTCCCCTCATGGAGGGTGGAATCACCAAAAACTTGTATCCTCTATATGCATACATTTCCCATGAACATAAAAAGTACACAGAATAAAATTATAATCAATCGTTTCATACTCTACCAAATTCAGAGAATATAAGCATACATAGTGTTATTGGTTTTTTTTTTTTTTTTTTTTCATTAAGAGATAGAGTCTTGCTCTGTCACCCAGGCTACAGTACAGTGGTATGATCATAGCTCATTGCAGTCTCAGACTCCTGGACTCAAGCCATCTTCTTACCTCGGCCCCCCAGGTTCATGCCTGCTGGAATTACAGGCATGAACCACTCTGTACCTGGTCCATTAGCTATTATTTTAACTCCTTAGTGGTATCCAAACATTCAGTTGTTTACTGTTGACTTGAGGTTCTTGGACTTACTTTTAGTAGTGATTAAGCGGAGATGTGAGGCTACACAAAACTATATGGATGAAATTGTGGCAGCACTGGCAATTGTAAGCAGGGTCAGAGAAAGAAAACTAGAAACCCAGAACATCACCACTTGCTGGTGCTTATTTCCCTAGTTTTCAAGATGAAAGGAATGGAAATGGCTCTTCTAATCTAACACTTCTGCAAAAGCAGCATCACGCAGGTTCCGCTACATCATGTACTCACTGTGATTGGCAGCCTCCAAGATGGCCTCCAGTGATTTCTGCTGGAATTCATACCCCTGTGGAATGCTTTCTCAAATTTTACCAGGGTACAAAAGTAATTGTATTTCACTTCCAAGATAGTTGTAAAAGATGTTGTAGCTTCTGTCTTGGTCTCTCTCTCGTTGTCTGTCTCTCTCAGATTACTCGCTCTGGGGAAAGCCAGCTGCCATGTTGTGAGCAGCCCTACAGAAAGGCCCATGTGGCAAGAAATGAAAATGTTCAGCCATGTGAGTGAGCTGGAAGCATATTCGTCAGCCTCAGACAAGCGTTCAGGTGACTCTGCAGCCCTGGCTGATGGCTTGACTGCAAACTCAAGAGACCCTGAGCTAGAACCACTCGGGGAAGCTGCTCCCAGATTCCTGACCCTCAGAAACAGAGTGAGGTCACAAATGTTTGTTGTTTCAAGCTGATTTCGGTGGTGATTTGTTATCCAGCAATAGGTAATAGACCCGCTGTAATCTTGGGCAAGTTAGATAAATTAAGCGCCTGTTACTCATCTATAAAGCGAGGACTATGATAAATAAAAATACATTTATATTCCTCTCCTTTATTCCAGAATGAATTTATGACTACTGTTAGGGATATATAAAATAAAAGATAGCATAAGTTAAATGAGAAGGTAGGCAGAAAAACAAGGGTGGGGACATGGAACAGAAACAGGAAAGAGGTTTAAAAAATAATATATTGCACACATTCCATAACTGAGTCACAATTCTGGCTCTAAAACTTTGAATAATTCCTTTTACCTCCTCCCCTACCCCTCTAAACACAGAGAGATAGAGTCTTTTATTCAGTTCAGGGTCCAAGAATTTTTAAAAGAATCCAATCACTTCTGAGACTTATAATTATCCTTAATACTAACATGAGTGGGAATTTTCCTTGGGCGCTGCCCTGAAGCAGACACTGTGTGGAGTACGAGCTGATGCCTTCATACTTATGGGTAACTGCATGAAATGGGATGATACATACAAAGTGTCTCATATCATGTAGGCTCATAATGGGCTCATACAAGGTGCTACTATAACTATTACTACTCAGTGTCAGGTTTTACCAGTATAACAGCTCACCGCTTAAAAATGTGTGCCCTTCACAGGCTAGTACTCTTGAGGTTTTTGTTTTTGTTTTTGTTTTTTGAGATGGAGTCTCACTCTGTCTCCCAGGTTGGAGTGCAGTGGCGCGATCTCAGCTCACTGCAAGCTCTGCCTCCCAGGTTCACGCCACTGTCCTGCCTCAGCCTCCCGAGTAGCTGGTACTACAGGTTGCCACCACCACACCCGGCTAATTTTTTGTATTTTTAGTAGAGACGGGGTTTCACCGTGTTAGCCAGGATGATCTCGATATCCTGACCTCGTGATCCGCCCGCCTCGGCCTCCCAAAGTGCTGGGATTACAGGTGTGAGCCACCGTGCTTGGCAATACTCTTGACTTTCTATCCTCATACATATTCAAAACAACCCACTTTAGTCATGAACTGAATGGAAACAGTTTGGGAAAAATCCTGGATATTTTGGATATTTGTCCATATTACTTCCATCTCAATAAGAAAGTTTGACATAAATTTTGTCCATCCTCGTGGCCACCCATGCACAAAGCTTTGGGCCTCTTTGATACCTTCCCCTTTTCACCCTTTCTCATTTACCTCGCCAACAAGTCCTGAGTTTTTAGTAACATATCTTCCTATCTGTTCCCTCCTTTACATCCTTGCTGCCATTGTCTAGTTCTGCATTTTAACTCCTTACACCCACGTTTAGGCAATCACTTTCAGTTATTGCCAATCAGCTATGATGTATATCATTGTCAGAGCAATTTTCTCCTTTGATCATAATTCAGTCAAGTGTCAATCTGCGTCCCAACGGCAGAATGAGGAAGCCCAACATCCTTGAAATTAAAGACCTTCAAGAATCAAGACCCAGACTCTGCCCCAACTCTAACTCCCATTCTTCACCCAACACAACTCCTCGACTCAGATTTGCTGTCCTCTTGGGCTGTTCTGCACTGTGGTTCCCACCTAGAATGCGCCACCACTCCCACCCCCTTTCTGGATCTCAATTAAATTCACTAAACCTAGCTCAGATCCTAGCTCAGAGAACTGAGAGTCCCAGAGTTGAAGGGACTCTGACGGTCATTCTGTCCAACTCTCAACCTCACCCATGCATCATCCATTTACCTAGCCAACATTTGTTAGCTACCTCCTAAGCCAAGTTAAAAACATATATGATAGATTCAGCCTAGGAAGAGATCACATCTATACAGGGAGACTGGCCTGCAAATGAAGATAATGTAAGTATAAAGTTCAAGACACAAACAAAGTGCTTTGAGAGCACATTCTTTGTCATTTGTTGTCTACATTCTATTTGAATACCTTCAGTAACAGCAAAATCATTGTCTCAAGGGGTAGCTCATTCCATTTTCAGAAAACTGTAACCACTTTAAAATTATCATACTGAGTTTAAATCTAACTTCCACACCCTTATTCTAACTTTTTCTTTTTTCTTTCTTTTCTTTTTGAGATGGAGTTTCGCACTTGTTGCTCAGGTTGGAGTACAGTGGCGCGATCTCAGCTCACCACAACCTCTGCCTCCCAGGTTCAAGCGATTCTCCTGCCTAGTAGCTGGGATTACAGGTGTGCGCCACCATGCCTGGCTCATTTTGTATTTTTAGTAGAGATGAGGTTTCTCCATGTTGGTCAGGCTGGTCTCGAACTCCCGACCTCAGGTGATCCGCCTACCTCGACCTCCCAAAGTGCTGGGATTATAGGCATGAGCCACCATGCCTGGCCGTTTTTTCTTTGTTGTTGTTTGAGAAAGTCTTACTCTGTTGCCCAGGCTAGAGTGCAGTGGCTGATCTAAGCTCACTACAACCACTGCCTCTTAGGTTCAAGCAATTCTTGTGCCTCAGCCTCCTAAGAAGCTGGGATTACAGGTACACGCCACCACACCTGGCTAATATTTGTATTTTTGGTAGAGGTGGAGTTTTGCCATGTTGGTCAGGCTGGTCTCGAACTCGTGACCTCAAGTGATCCATTTGCCTCAGCCTTCCAAAGTGCCGAGATTAGAGGTGTGAGTCACTGCACCTGGCCCAGTTTTTTCAAACTCCAGTGTTTTCAAAGACAAAGCTAGCTGTCTTTTCATATAACTGTCATTAAAGAATTTGAAGAGCATGCCATGAATATCTCTAAACTTCTCAGATGTTCTGATTCTAAACTTTTTCTCCTGCTGGTAGCCCTCCTCTGGCTACACTGTAGATTTTTTTTATGCCCTTCAAAGTTTGGTGGGGATTCAACAAGGCAGAATGGAGGGAGGCTATCAGCTCCTTTGTTCCTAACTCAACCTAAAATCACATTTACCTTTTGAAGAGGGAAGGGGGCATTCTCATTACATTGCTGCTTTTAGACAATCAAAATTTCCTGTGACTTCTTTTTTCCTTCTCTCATACACCTAAGTGCTCTCTAAAAGCCTGTAGCGAAAATGTGTTGGTTTTTGTTTTCTTTTTGTTTGTTTTTGAGTGCACGGGCACAATCACAGCTCACTGTAGCCTCGAGCTCCTAGGCTCAAGTGATCCTCCCGCCTCTGCCTCCCAAGTAATGGGGCCTACAGATGTGTGCCACCATGCCTGGCTAATGTTTAAAATTTTTTTTGTAGAGACGAGGTCTCACTGTGTTGCCTAGGCTGGTCTTGAACTCCTAGGCTCAAGCAATCCTCCCACCTTGGCCTCTCAAAGTGCTAGGATTATAGGCATGAGCCACAAGGTCCGGCCTGTGACACAAATTTGAATGGCTCACATTGGAGCTTGTTGCTTGCTGCCTTGTACTGTTGGTTAATGTCTTTTACATATATTTAAGCTCTCCACCTAAATATTAGGTTTCTTGAGGAAAAAAAAATATTTATTATTCATTTTCCTTTAATAAATGTATTAATAAATACATGAGTGTTAAGGGAGAAAAATGCTGTGGTATGCAGAATAATGTCCCCTCTCTCCCAGAAAAAAAAGATGTCCACATCATAATCCCAGAACCTGTGAGTATGCTATGTTACCTGGTAAAGGAGAATTAAGGTTGCACATGGAATTAAGGTTGCTAGTCAGCTGATTTTAAAATAAAAAGATTATCCTCAATTATCATAAATGAAGAGGAGGAAGTCAAAGTCAGAGAGTGGCTGGAAGGTGCTACTCTGCTACCACTGAAGATGGAGAAAGGAGCTATCAGCCAAGGAATGTGGGCAGCTTCTCAAAGCTGAGAAAGGAAAGAAAATGGATTCTCCCTTAGAGTCCCCAGAAGGAAACAGAGCCCTGCTGACGCCTTGATTTGAGACCAGTGAGACCCATTTCAGACTTCTGACCTTCAGAACTGAAAGATAATATATGTGTTATTTTAAGCTACTGAATTTGTGGTCATTTGTTACAGCAGCAATAGAAAATTCATTTTAAAGTACTAACATTTGGCATTATTTGCCAGTTATCATTTGGCTAATTCCCAATCCTTATAACACACATTAGATTTTTTTAAAAGTTGAAGTTATTGGGTAAATTTTGAAGGATGAACCCAGAAAATAAGAAGCAGAGCTAGTGTTTGAACTCAAGTGTCTCTGATTCCAACTCACACTCATTCCACAAAACCAGTATGCCTTAAGGAGGGATAACATCAAAATGCAGATATTGCACCTGAGTATTTCTCTGAATGTTCTGATTAGAGTTCCAGAGCCCATCCTTTCTGGCAGAAACTGGATGTATAATTCAATATCTATTATTCCTCTTTAATTCATTGCTTTTTTTCTCTCCTTGAACTTTTCTCTCTCCAGTCAATACTGCTTAAACATAAAAGTAACACTTTGAACTGGATATTAACTTACTGCTTTTAACAAATCAAATTGTTCACTTCAAATCATACTATCAACTATAATTATATCAGAATGTGAGTTGAATACAGTAGGTATTCACCTACAAATACAGTATCTGGGAAAATATATTTCTAAGGAAAATATGCTTTTATAAGGTACGATTGGTTCTCCTGATAAACTATATTCAAACCCTGCAGCTCTCTAACAAGAGTGGCTATTCAGTGGTGATACACTTAGCTGTGCAAACTTTACTGCTGGTTACAGACACATTAAGCATGGGTGGAAATTCTCCAATTGTAAGGATGCAGTTTGCCCTCAACCCCATAATGAAAACATAAAACTTTCTTTAGTTTTCACAAAGCTAGAATTAATTAAATCCTAATCCTGACATAAGCCCTTTTGAAACCTAAGGAATAAAAGGTGACATATTCATTTATTCATTCATGAAGTATTTTCATTCACCTGTTGAAACATGTCGTTTTCTTTTCCTTCATTTAAAACAAGTCCATTCATCATCGAGCTCCTATTATACGCAGTGGTCACTATACTATAACATAGTGCCTTGGCGTGCAAGCTCTGGAGTAGATGGCTCCACAACTTCTCACTTATGCGATCCTGGGGCAAATTACCCTCACTGAGATTCAGTTTCCTCTCCTGTGAAACAGATATAAGAAAAATGCCTGCCTCATAAGGAGTCAGTGCACTTAGAGCAGAGGATGATAGAAAGGAAGCATCTGCTACCTGTTAGTTTTCACTATATGCCAGGTCATGGGTTTGTATTGGTGGGTAAAAAGACATGTTCCCTGTTCTTGAAAAGCTTATACTCTAAGTAGTTAAGATAAGCAAAGAATTATAGCTTTTAAAAAGTATGCAGATCGACCACTACTATTTTTGAGTTCACAGCTTGGTGACTCCTACTGAAGTCTGTAGATTGGCAGGACCTGCTTCGGGGCAGCCATGACTGGCACCTACTGTAAGAAGTGCTCTAGACACACCCCACTGTCTCAGCTCCCCTGAAGCCTGTCCTCTACCTCATATCCTCTGTGCTTTGGGGAATCCACCTACAGAATTATACTAAATAAAAAATTAATCTTGCCAAATTGTCTGATGCCCAGATAGTAACACCGACACTTCCCCTTTCATCTCTCCCCTCTTGCCCATACATGTCATCTTTAGTATTTGAAGACAGCCTAACTAACAGGAATTTTTGAAGTCTGTGCCAATCTCAGGTCCATCGGCATGCAATCCTCTTGGTAAAGCACTTGAATTCTATCATTAAGCAACCCCAGACACCTACTTTTTGTATTCTTTGTCATGTTCAATTAGTACACAGAAACTTCCTGCCTGCCAGCCAAGAGCCTTTGGTCCCTCATTTTGCAAGAGAATAAAGCTTTCTTCTCCCTTGAACATTCTACTGTCTCATGAATTCTGATGAGAATGGATTCCTTTTCAAATATGAAATGAGACAAATGTGAAAGCATCTAGAACAGTCTCTCGTCCAAAGGAGATGAACCACAGTACCTGTTGTTTCTTTTGTATAGATGATTCGTCAATCTCACTGCTAACTCCAAACAACTTAATTTCAAAGAAGCAACTGCTGACACTGAGATGGTAATTAAACAGGTAGCCATTCTTTAGTTACTTAGCAATTTCTTGCTGATTTCCTAGCCAAGACCTGTAGGGAAACAGCTGCTAGAGGGGTATGGTAAGCCAGCCTCTTTTCCCTGTGACTGCTGATTTTGGCAAAGGCCACAGTAAATCAGTAACCATCAGGGTAAGAGCATCTCAGACCCACATGCAGATCTATTTTAAGCTTCTTGGCTGGCACCACTAAGACTGCTGGATCATCTCAATGTTGTCAAAGCTAACCTCCAATACCCCTAAGGGTCTAAGGGTCTTACCACCTGCCCACAAGAACATCAGGCCAATCTGGTCAAGCATTGCTCATTTTCAAATCTGTCCTAGGGCAAATAGATGACTAAATGTTAAGGTTCACATTCAGGAAATGTCATTGCATTTTTGATTATCACAGAAAGCATTTGTGTAAACAGGTGATTTCGCACAGTGCTTTCTTAGTACCATACTATTTTTGAAGCCCCTTCCTCTCTCCTTCCCTACCTTCTCGACAAACGATCCTGGGTTGTTTCAGTGCTGCTTTTCAACACTTTCCAATGTTGAGGTATCAACAGGTGCTCTGGTGGCTAAGACAGTCTGGGGTCAACGCAGTAAACCCAAGGACCTGTCCTGACCCTGGCCAGATGGCCATGTGATAACGAACAGTACTTTTGAAGCAAGCCCATTGGGTGGCTAAATGGAGCTCCATCTAGAAACAGGAACAAAGCCAGGCCAGAGGAGAATCAAGGTTGAGATACTAAAGAATCTTCTCCAGTTGTACCAGCGGTTGGTACCTTTGCATAAGGGTAGTTTATTTATATATACCTCTCACTGAACTATACAACTTTACAACCAGAGGACAAAACTTATACCTGTAAATGAGATTATTTCAAAGCCATCACTTTAGGCTTTATTCTGATTTCAAAAATACCTTGGCATTCAATACTTATGTCAAAATTCTTTTGACTATATTTAGTGGTGGCAAATACCAGTTTTTTTGAGAGTGGGTGTTATTTTTAGAAATATCCAGGTCATTCAGAACTAAGAAGAATAAGATGGGAAATCAATACTATTCTGGTATAAAACCAAAGTGTTGGTTATAGTAAAACAGGTTGGAGTTTCCTGTGCAGATCTGAAAACAATTTGAAAAGGGAGTTTTAAAAGTGCTCTGAATAATGGCAATGTCAGTGTGGAATAAGGGTTGCTACTAAGGTAACAGCTTTGAAGAGGTCATTTGATATGGATGTTGGATTCTTTTTTTTTTTGGAGACGGAGTCTCACTCTGTTGCCCAGGCTGGAGTGCAGTGCTGCAATCTCGGCTCACTGCAACCTCCATCTCCCAGGTTCAAGCAATTCTCCTGCCTCAGCCTCCCGAGTAGCTGTGATTACAGATGCCCACCACCACACCCAGCTAATTCTTTGTGTTTTTAGTAGAGACAGGGTTTCACCATGTTGGCCCGGCTGGTCTCAAACTCCTGCCCTCAAGCAATCCACCCGCCTCAGCCTCCCAAAGTGCTGGGATTATAGGCGTGAGCCACCACATCTGGCCTGGATGTTGGATTCTTACTACTCTATTTCACGACCATTTTAAAAAATGTTTTTTTTTTTTTTTGAGACAGGGACTTGTGTAGTCGTCTAGGCTGGAGTGCAGTAAAGCTACAGCAGCCTTGGCTTCCTAGGATCAAGCAAGCCTTCTGAGTAGCTGAGACTACAGGCGTGCACCACCACACCCAGATAATTTTTTAAAAAAATTTTTGTAGAGATGAGGTCTCACTATGTTGCTCAGGTTGGTCTCTGGGCTCAAGCAATTCTTCCGTCCCGGCCTCCCAAAGTGCTGGGATTACAGGCAGGAGCCCACCAAGCCTGGCCAGGAAAAAGCTGGTAAGACAACAGAGAAGTCTAGTATGTACTTCATTTCTGGGTCATAAAGCAGAAACTCTTAAAATTCGTCTCATAGCTTCAGTTAAGTGGTCTTAAGGGAGGAGACCACTACTAGTCCGGCTGCCCTCCTCCCCCCACCTTGCCTACTTCACAAGACAGGAGGAAAGTGAGAAAGAAACAAAATTAAGATATATAGCCAGACAACCTTGGCACCACCACCCGGCCCTAGGAGTTAAACAAAGTAATAATTATAACATCAACCCCTGGCCTAAACTACTTGTGTTATCTGTAAATTCCAGACACTATACGAAAAAAGCATTGTAAAACTTTCTGTTCTGTTAGCTGACGCATGTAGTCCCCAGTCATGTTTCCCACGCTTGCTTGATTTATCACGACCCTTTCACGTGGATCCCTTAAAACTGTAAGACTTTAAAAAGGCCACGTATTTCTTTTTCGGAGAGCTCGGCTCTTAAGACAAAAAACCTCTTCCTTCTTTAATCCGGTGTCTCAGGAGTTTTGTCTGCGGCTCATCCTGCTACAGTCTCCATGTCCACAAAGTAAGGGTTAAGAGGCAGAGATCCTACGTATAAATGAATTTAAACTGATATTCTAAGGTTCTAAGATTCTCCATTCTTTTAATAACTTATTAGTACCTAACTACAGAATATAATGCACTTGGGGGCCTGGGTCTCCTACTTGCCAGGAGTTCTTAATCTAAAACACTGAACTGGACATGTCGATAATATCAAGAATAGCTAACACTTAATAACACTACATGCTATGCACTTTCTTTTTTTTTTTTTTTTTTTTTTTTGAGACGGAGTCTCGCTGTGTCTCCCAGGCTGGAGTGCAGTGGCTGATCTCGGCTCACTGCAAACTCCGCCTCCCGGGTTCACGCCATTCTCCCGCCTCAGCCTCCCAGTAGCTGAGACTACAGGCGCCCGCAACCACGCCCGGCTAGTTTTTTGTATTTTTAGTAGAGACGGGGTTTCACCATGTTAGCCAGGATAGTCTCGATCTCCTGACCTCGTGATCCACCCGCCTCGGCCTCCCAAAGTGCTGGGATTACAGGCTTGAGCCACCGCGCCCGGCCTGCTATGCACTTTCTTAGCAAGCTATATATATCAACTCTCTTAATACAGCCCTGTCATTACTTTTTACATTTTTATCTTACATATGAGAGAACTGAGCCATGCAGAGTTGCCCATGACCACACAGAAAGCTGCAGAGCTGGGAATGGAACCAAGCCAGCCTGGCTCCAGCTGCACTCTTAATCACTAGGCTACACCACCCTATGCATCTATGAAGAAGAAACCAGATACATAAATTAAATAATAGGAAAAGGGCAGTGAAGAATACTTGCAAATTTATGGGAAGCCCATTTGAGAAGCAAAAAGGAGAGGATGAAGGGAGGCAGATGGACCTGTAAAAACTGGGGTGAAGGCCAGACAGACTAGCCACAAAAGTTCCATGGGCAATCTGGGAATGGGCAGAAAGAGTCTCCTCTAGTTTATTTAGAGAACAGAGAATACAGCAACTTGAAAGATCCAGGAGTTATAAAGGACCAGTTTGGGTATATGACGTTTTTTATTACATAAACATCAGGTAATTCACTCCACATCATTTTGTAAACCTGACTGGCTAGTAATAAGTTATGTGTAATAAATCAAAGTCAACTTATTGGTGAACACTAGGGAAGATAAGTGCAATGCTCTACCTGCCATCTCCAAGGAAGCTCTTAGAAGCCACTATCCCGTAAAAGGGATGTATGGATGGAAGTCACTGAAGAGCCCTCGAGATATCTTGTTTTCCCACAGCCAATACCAATGCCACCTTAAGTCTAATCTCATCTGAGGTGGAAACAATCTCATGGAGCAGAAATGGGACTTAGAGCAGGGAATGACTTGGATGAAGGTCTTCTGACTCCAAGTCCAGTGTTCTTTCCTTGTAACCATTCAGGGCAACGGGGCCAATATTGATTTCAAAACTCCTCGGAGAACGTGAGCACACATCTATGCTACAGAGAGAATTCCCTCATCACAGTTCCGTCCTGCTGCTGTCTACACCTGCTTCCTCTCCCTGGGACGACAGAAAACATGATGGGCGTTAATGCTTCTAAAATCTGCAACACATCAAATGAACGAAGCAACAGCTACTCTCGAGGTTCTTTGCTACGCCTTGTACCGCAGGCTGCGGTGAGCCGCAGGGAGTTGAGATTCCCGTGAGGCTGAGAGCCGCTCCCGTAGCCTACCCTGGGAAGCCCCCACCCAACTGCGAGGCGCGGGGGAGGCTTGGCCGCTGGGCCGGCCACCCACACCACCGCATCCCCGCCGAGATGCAAGGAATTCGAGGAAGCCTGCACGGCAGGGGAGCAGCCCGTTCCTCGCGCCCCACGCACACGAAGACGTTGGAGCCGGTCCAGGCGCCTCCCCTCTCCCGATCCCGGAGCCTGCTCCGCCAACGCCGCCCGGCTCCACAGACCACCGCCTAGCGCCGCACAGCCACACCTTCCACCCGCTAAAGGGAGGGGTCACGTGAGGCGGGCCCGGGGAACCAATGGGCGGCTCGCGCCGAATGGAAGGGATTGTCTGACCCCCGTGACGTCACAAAGCTGGCAAGGAGCGCGCTCCTCTTCCGCCCCCGCCCCACCCCCGGCCGCGGCCCTCTCCGCCTTCCCGCCCACTCGCCACTGCGCAGCCAATCGGAAGGCGGGAAGCACTCCAGCCCGAACGTGCGGGCGGGGCGGGGCGGGGTGGCGGCCCCGCAGGGTAGGGGAGCAGAGTGGGCCGGCTGGGGGCGAGGGCCCGCGCTCCGGGAGCTGCACGGGGCTGAGTGGAAAAAGCGCGGAGCGGCGGCGTCGTTGTTGCCCCCTCCTCCTCGGGACAATCGTTTGGTTTCCTGCGGTGCCCGGTTCGTATTCCCTACTCCCGGCCACGAGCCGCCCCGTCCGGGATCCTCCACCCGTCCAAAGTTGTGAGGGGGCGCCGGGCGTGCTCGCGGATCGGCGGCCGCGGGCGTGCGGAGGGCGGGACGAGCCCTGGAGCGCCAGGTGCGCACCTGGGGGTCGGGGCTGTAGGGCGGGAGCGGTGGCGCTGGGGGCCGTCGGGGGGCTGGGGGCTGGGGGCTTGGGGCGGGGGCGGGGCCGCCGTGCAGCCCTAGCGTCTTCCGGCCTCTGCGCACCGGCTGTCAGCACCAAGGGCGCCGCGGGGACCGCGGCAGTGCGAGCTCCGGGGAGGCTGTAGGGCTGCGGCTCTGCCTGAGTGTCTCCCTGATGCACCCCGGGTCCGGGCTGGCCCCGCTGGCAGCTTGCCGCCGGCCGGTCCCTGTTAGTCTGGACTGAAGCGGGCACCCGTGGGGCCGGGCCGGGCGGGGCGGGACAGGACTGGGCGGGCAGCGGGCGGGGCTGCCGTACGCGTCCATAGGCTTCGCGCCCCGACTGGATGGAGGGGCTGGCCCTTGGGGCGCGCCCCTGCTCGCGCCTGGGCCGCGCTGTCTTGGGCTGTGGCTCTGCCTCCCCGGCGGGGTGGGTTGGTTTGGTTGGCTTCCTTGTTCTCTCCACCCCTTTATCCCTCCTCCATTCTCTTCCCCCCTCCCAGCCCATTCACCGGGCTGGAGCGACACCTCGCCCCTCCTCCGCTCCCGCCTCCCCGCCGCCGCCTCCTCTAATGAGCATCTCTGCCTTGCTTTCAATGGGCCGGTGCTGCTGTCGCTGCTGCTGCCCGCGCGGGTTGTGGATGTTGTCGGCTCCGTGTTGTGATGACAGGAGAATGTGTGTGTGTCCCGGGCCCAGACGAATTGGTAGGTATTCACTTAACTACCTGCGTTGGGTACCCAGGAAGGATGGTGACAGATTTTTGTGTATGGATGGTTTTAGGTGGGTCAGCGTTGTATTAAGGGATGAGATAGATTGGAAAAAGGAACAAGGGCGTCTTGGATTGGGAGAGCTTTGATGCCTTTGTGAGTGCAATTTTTCAGGTAGCGACAAAGGAAACTAATCAAACAGGTACTGGCTTGGTGCTTCGTATCATTCTTCATTCATGTAAAAAGATAGCAGGAGCTGTGAAATGGCTAGGCATTTCCAGAAAAATGTTGAAAAATCGTGGATGGTCTTTAGGTAGAGTGTTTAATGCAATCGGATTACATAAACTGGGGTTCTGACACATTAAATGATTAGCATAGCTTTTCTTTTTCATTTACATCAGAAGCTTTGCAAAGCTAAAGGGCTCCGGAGTCGGTGCCTTAATAGCGTTTGCTAATTAATTTGGTCCGTAGGTCTATTGATGGAGTGGAAAAAATGTCTTGGCACAGGCTCTGCTAAGCACATCAGTAAGAATGGATGGGTCTCTTTCCTGTTTCTGGTTGCAGTGCATCTTTCTTTATTAGTCATTGGCAAAATCAGCCAAATCTGCCTGGGACGAAGATGCTGCGTATACCGTGGCTGAGTCTAGATCATGGAATAGGAACTTTTCCGTGAAAATTGTGATCAGGAATAACTTGAAAATTTGACACTGCTCTGTTTTACCAACAGTTGTACCTGGATGCTGCTCTTATTGCCTGATCAAGAGCCTTCTACACTAATTTAACAAGCTTGTCAGCAAAAGTTTTGATGTAGAGGGTTTTCTTGTTGTATCAGTGGATATTCTGAAGGATAATTAAGAGTTTTCCAGTGCTCACTTATTGTTTATGAAAGCATTTTAAAGTACTTTGACTCCCAAGGGTATCTGATCTGATGGAGAGAATATATCACTTGTACCGATGAGGATAGAACGCTCATTGATCACAGCACAGTTTTCATAAATTCCAACTTCCCTAGGAATTTTGTCTTTTGAAGGCATGTTAGGAGTTGGGGCATTAGGATATAATCTCAGTCCATGTGCTAAGCCTCTGCATAACTGAAAGATACAGTCAATAAAATTCACTCTCTTTTTTTGTTTTTAATCGCAAGAACTTTTGCCTCGAAGGAAAAATGTAGTGGAGAATTTGTTTGATGTTTGAATATAAGTATTATTAAAAGCACCTGCTGTGTGAATCATTAGCTTTTTGTCACTAGATTTCATTCATTTTGCAGTGAACTACAAAAGTAGAAAAGATGTCAAACCAAGCCGGATGCGGTGGCTCATCCCTGTAACCCCAGCACTTTGGGAGGCTGAGGCGGGTGGATGGCCTGAGGTCAGGAGTTGGAAACCAACCTGACCAACATGGTGAAACCCCATCTCTACTGAAAATACAGAATTATCCGGGCGTGGTAATCCCAGCTACTCGGGAGGCTGAGGCGGGAGAATCGCTTAAACCCGGGAGGCAGAGGTTGCAGTGAGCCGAGATCACGCCATTGCACTCCAACTCCTCCTCCCGTCCCCCCGCCACACACCCAGAAAAATGACGAAGCAAAGGAATTTAAGTAAAGTGCAGGTTTCCTGGATTTGTTATTCCTCAGACAATCAAACACTGTTATGCATCTGTCAACCCTCCCTCCCCCATACACAAATAGTATTTTGAGTCAATTTACATTCCATAGAGGCACATTTTCTTTTTCTTTTTTTTTCTGTAAGATTCTTAAGTTTTAAAGAAAGAGCAAATGCAGTCATAAAATTATGAAGAAAAATTGTTTTCATTAAGATTACGTTCGTTTACATTTTTAATGATAGGAAACCTTTATACAAAGCACAAAATGAGTTGATATGCTTTCTGCGTGCAAACCTAAAAAGAGATACGGTTTAAGTGTGGAAGCCGCTGTCATGTGGCCCAACATTTGAGCACATCTTCTGGCTCAGTCATGTACACTTAACCTCTGGATGACTTTCAGGTATTCAGTTTGAAGTGCTTTTATTTAAATGGTTACTCCTGATGGATTCCTGTTTTTCTGGAATTTCTGTTTTTCATTAGTGCATTTCAGAATACTTTTTTAGTTACAGATTCTTATTTCCAAAATTATAGCCATTACTTTCTATTGCCTGATCTTGTCTTCATTTCCGTAAACAAATCCCTTCTTAGATAGTGCAGTTAAAATGATGGTACTTTATGCTACTTGCAGAAGAGAATCTGTGTGGCTGGCTTATGTAGTGCTTTTTACAGAAGCAAACAAGCATCAGTGATTATTCGGTGTTTAGTTTTCTTTGCTTCCCGCTACCCTATCACTTTTTCTCAAATTATTCTTCAAAAAATGTATATGAAAATAATATATAGCTAACACTTGCTATGATATTTGTAAATTCTTTTGTTTCTTAATGAGTTTAGCCCTGGGAAGGAATAGTTGCTATTAACTCAGATGGTTTTATTTTCCATGTTCCTTTTTGTTTATTGCATTTGTTTATTTAAAGTATTTCTAAAGTGTGTTTCTTTGTAGTCTAAAAGACTATTTTGAAACAGTATCTCAAGAATTCAGGGAAAATATATTTTATTGAGGAAGAAGAGGGATTTTTTTCTTGCTTGAATTATCTAGATTAATGATATATTTATTAAATTTTCCAAATAAATGCCCAGAAATTATTTTCAGTGCATATAGTGAGTGATAGGATTTTTTTAAAGTTTGTAATTATATTGCTGTACCTTTTCAATCCAAACCTTAGACTATTATTTGACTATACTGCTTTCCTGGAGCAAATAAATACCTTTTTTTTTTCTTTAATGTGAGAAAAAACATTTTTGGTTTTTTGAAATTTATTTTAAATTTACAATTGACACATAATAGTATATATTTATGGGATACACTGTGATGTTTCAGTGTGTGTATATTAGTAGACATTGTGTAATGATGAAATCACAGTAATTACCATATCCAAGAAAACATTTTTCTAGGGGTTAATTCTACTTTGGATCCATAGTAGATGAAAATACTTACATGGTTTTTCCTTATGGCTGCTAAGCAGGGGACATTGTTAGTAGGTAAATTAAGTTCTAGGACTGAAGTCATTTATGTTACTAACAAAGCTTTAGAGCTACTACAATACTTAAAACTTTTTTTTTTTTTTTTTTTTTAAATCATGAATGGCACGGTAGAATTCAACAGTGAATAAATGAAACCTGAATTTTATTTCAAAGCCTCACTTCCATAAGCATAAAGGCATGAATCCTAGAAAAGCCTTAGATAGCATCTGTTCCATTGTGTTCATTTACAAGTTAGAAGAGTGAGACTCAAAGATGTGAGCTGACTTTTCCAAGATTATTTGGGAGTTGGTGGCAGACCTATGCCCATTAGCCTGGCAAATTGCCACAGTGGTCTAGAGAAGCAAGTTTTGCAAGACCATCTACTGGGGTACAGGAGAGAAATACTGGAATTTCTTTTTTTATTTAATTATGTAGAAATTTTTCTGTGTATGTTACAATGCATATTACTATAGTAAAATATGTATATGATGTACAAACGTCTCTGTTGTTCCTCACCCTACATTCCTCAGAGTTGACTGAGATACACACCGCATCCAGCATATGCTACCTTTTGCAGGCCAAAGGAGAACTGGTGGCAGTAATTCATGAATATACATATGTTTGGGCTGCATCTTAACACTTTTGATCATAGCCATGTGTAATCATGCCAAAATTGACCACAGGTCTATGTAAAGGATCTTCATAAATTGAAGAAGTCCCTGTGTAAAATGGGAGATTTCAAGGCATTTTTTAAGGATAGGGAGATAGAAGGATGATTGGTCAGGTAGACTGCTACTGCATAATGTTATATAACCTTCATCTCCTCAGCTTTCCCCAGCCAAATCTGTTGTACATTCTGCACAGTTTGTACTGCACAAAGAAGAACAAAGAAAAGAGAAAATTGAAGTTTGAGTACAGGAGCCAGGAGTTCAGTCCTGGTTCCACGAATAATTGGGAGTTGTGCCTACCAGAATACACCCTGTAGAAATAGTACATGATGTGTGTATAAAATGTAGTACCTTCTAACAAAGGCTTAGCATGTAGATTGACTTGCTTAATATTTGTTATGAAGGCAAAGCTAGATTAAGTCTCCTGAAATGTAACTCTTTTCTTTGTGTACATCTGTCTAATTTGCTGTCTAGGAATCCCAGTCAGAAGTTCCAGCCTGCCACTGTTCTCTGATGCCATGCCAGCACCAACTCAACTGTTTTTTCCTCTGATCCGTAACTGTGAACTGAGCAGGATCTATGGCACTGCATGTTACTGCCACCACAAACATCTCTGTTGTTCCTCACCCTACGTTCCTCAGAGTCGACTGAGATATACACCTCATCCAGCATATGCTACCTTTTGCAGGCCAAAGGAGAACTGGTGGCAGTACACCCAAGGAAGGAGATATGCTTCCACACCACAGAAATTTTACCTCACACCTCCACAAGTCAATAGCATCCTTAAAGCTAATGAATACAGTTTCAAAGTGCCAGAATTTGATGGCAAAAATGTCAGTTCTATCCTTGGATTTGACAGCAATCAGCTGCCTGCAAATGCGCCCATTGAGGACCGGAGAAGTGCAGCAACCTGCCTGCAGACCAGAGGGATGCTTTTGGGGGTTTTTGATGGCCATGCAGGTTGTGCTTGTTCCCAGGCAGTCAGTGAGAGACTTTTTTATTATATTGCTGTCTCTTTGTTACCCCATGAGACTTTGCTAGAGATTGAAAATGCAGTGGAGAGTGGCCGGGCACTGCTACCCATTCTCCAGTGGCACAAGCACCCCAATGATTACTTTAGTAAGGAGGCATCCAAATTGTACTTTAACAGCTTGAGGACTTACTGGCAAGAGCTTATAGACCTCAACACTGGTGAGTCAACTGATATTGATGTTAAGGAGGCCCTAATTAATGCTTTCAAGAGGCTTGATAATGACATCTCCTTGGAGGCACAAGTTGGTGATCCTAATTCCTTCCTCAACTATCTGGTGCTTCGAGTGGCATTTTCTGGAGCCACTGCTTGTGTGGCCCATGTGGATGGTGTTGACCTTCATGTGGCCAATACTGGCGATAGCAGAGCCATGCTGGGTGTGCAGGAAGAGGACGGCTCATGGTCAGCAGTCACGCTGTCTAATGACCACAATGCTCAGAATGAAAGAGAACTAGAACGGCTGAAATTGGAACATCCAAAGAGTGAGGCCAAGAGTGTGGTGAAACAGGATCGGCTGCTTGGCTTGCTGATGCCATTTAGGGCTTTTGGAGATGTAAAGTTCAAATGGAGCATTGACCTTCAAAAGAGAGTGATAGAATCTGGCCCAGACCAGTTGAATGACAATGAATATACCAAATTTATTCCTCCTAATTATCACACACCTCCTTATCTCACTGCTGAGCCAGAGGTAACTTACCACCGATTAAGGCCACAGGATAAGTTTCTGGTGTTGGCTACTGATGGGTTGTGGGAGACTATGCATAGGCAGGATGTGGTTAGGATTGTGGGTGAGTACTTAACTGGCATGCATCACCAACAGCCAATAGCTGTTGGTGGCTACAAGGTGACTCTGGGACAGATGCACGGCCTTTTAACAGAAAGGAGAACCAAAATGTCCTCGGTATTTGAGGATCAGAATGCAGCAACCCATCTCATTCGCCATGCTGTGGGCAACAACGAGTTTGGGACTGTTGATCATGAGCGCCTCTCCAAAATGCTTAGTCTTCCTGAAGAGCTTGCTCGAATGTACAGAGATGACATTACAATCATTGTAGTTCAGTTCAATTCTCATGTCGTAGGGGCGTATCAAAACCAAGAATAGTGAGTGGCTCTTTCACTGGCAATTCTCAAATGATATGCATTTAAAGGGCAGATTTTTAAAAAAGATACTACTATAATAAACATTTCCAGTTGGTCATTCTAAGCATTTACCCGTTTGATACTCTAGCTAGTCAGGTACTTTAAATTGACTTTGCAGCAGGGTGGCAGGGTCAGGAGAGTCTGGTTCTGCCTAGCTCAGATTTCATGGCACCTGCACTTGAAGCAAGTCACTTCTTTATCACAGGTGTCTTGAAACATTGGCTTCTTTTACCAACCTGAGAAAATTAGGATGACCTGGCAAATAAGATCTTGAATAGGCCAAAAGCAAGTATCTTGCTGTGTGTAGTCTCTTGGTTAAAGTGAAGAAACAGTACTGTTCACACCTACAGACCCCTTTCTTCACTGAGATTCCAGTGTACGTGAGAACATATATTTATTGCATGATTTTCTAGGTACACAGTCTATGCATTATTCATATACATTTATTTTAGCCTGAAGTGGTTTTCAAATCCAATTCTTTAAGCCATAAATGACCAAGATCCAAGCAATCTGAATTCGTTTTTGTGATTATTTGACTGGAATGCTTCTTAAGTGGAATAACTATACTCCGTTATCCACCCGATTTCCTAATGTAATTGAAACATTTTCTATTTTGCCACACACTTGGAGACAATAAGGGTTTTTAGTTTTATCTACTCTTCTATTGAAGTTAAATAAAGAAAAAAAGATTTTTTATTTGTATTAATGAAAAGCTTTAGTTTAAAATAAGGAGATCCAGAATAAAAAGAAGAGACTGACCTCTTCAATTATTGTCATCTGTAGCCACCAGCACAACACTCTTACATAATCCCCAAAGGCTTGGCATGCTGTAAGTGTGTGGTGGGTAGACTGCTGCCGGGGAATCGTACTTCTTATTTAGTAGTGATAAGACTTTTCATCATTTTTGGAATTTTAAAGATGACATATATAAAATAAGTTTATCAATTTGGGGAATAAGGTTGAATATTACCATTGGGTATTGAGACAGGAGAAAGTTTTTGTTTTTCTCCATTTAGACATAGGTCAATTAAAATATTTGGGTTTAAAATGACTAAATGCTTTAAACATATTGTAGCTTAAGATATATGTGTTAAGATATATACATGAGAAACTTTAAAAGGTAACTACTGTGCATGCCTGATGCTTAATAGAACACTTACTTAGTGACATCAAATGTTTGCAGCAGTCTCCATAATTATATTCAGTCCCTTCTAATACTGTATCAACGTAAATGAAATAAATATATTCAAATTGGCTTTTTGGGAGCTTATTTACTATGCATCAAATGGCATTTTGTTCCTGTGTTTAGTAGTGATCTGTATACAGCTGTGCATATACTTTCATCACTTATTCTAGCATCACTGTTAAAAAATGGCTGTGATTATGTTTGATATTCACCTGGATTTTAATACAAGCCAATATCAGCTTCCCATTGTGTAATAACTTGGGTGTTTAGGAGTCTTTTCACATTTTTGGGGGATATGAACTAGATGTTCAAGGACTCCTTCTGGAGTGTGGATACTGAATCAGTGTAGTATTGGCTGCAGAATTTGCTTCAATTGAAAATAGACTCAGGAAGATTGCTGCTCAGAATATCATATAATGTTTATTTTTTGAGGTGTTTTTGTTTTTATTTGTGGGTTTTTTTTTTTTTTTTGGAAGTCAGCTTGGAATTTTTTTCCTGGGAAGTATTTGGGAGAGGGAAAGGCTGTACTATATATTTATTTCTAAATGTTTTGACTGGGCCTTTTTCTTTTAATGATATATGTGGACTGCTCTAGCAAACCCTATTTTCAGCTACTATTTGAATGTTCTTGAACACCACCACTGAAGATTTCATATTATACACCAAATAATGTCTCATCTCTATATAGTATAGGGAATATAAAATTGGTTTCCTGTGGTCATGATCAAGATAGTAATATTATTACACAAGAAACTTGGTCTGCAGTCTGAAAGCTGGTCTACTCTCTATAGAAATGAAAATGCAGCATGGAGTTGACATTGTAGAAATGAAAGTAATTGGGTATTAGAAATCTGAATGTACTGTCATCTAAAAGCAATTGTGATTTTATTGTAATTGGTTGTCACTGTGATACGGTGTCTAGAATTAAAGAATACATGTAAACTTTCATGGTATTTAGCCTTTCTTAAATTTTTGTAAAATTTAAACTTTCTAATGTATGTATTCAACTTCTGTATTTATATTTAATCAGTGGTTCATGATACATAATACACCCTTAACTAGTTAAATGGAATGTTGGTATGGTACAGAGTACCGTATTGGTAAGAAAACTGTCTTATAAAAGATGTATGTGTGTGAAGACATGAAAGTTTAATGTACAGAATGGTTGGAGAAATGCCCATGGTGAATTAAAGCTTTCATATCTGCTTTCTGAATGTCCTGTGTTGGTTTTTAATAACAAGATTCATTAGATGCTTCCTATGCATGGTAGATTATGTTTAACTTTAGGATCCAGTAGATACATAGTACTTCAAATCTGTAAAAATTAAGGTAAATTTTTGTTTTTTTCTTTTTGAGACAGAGTCTCGCTCTGTCGCCAAAGCTGGAGTGCAGTGGCACGATCTCGTCTTACTGCAACCTCTGCCTCTTGGGTTCAAGCAGTTCTTCTGCCTCAGCCTCCTGAGTAGCTGGGACTACAGGTGCATGCCACCATGCCTGGCTAATTTATGTATTTTTAGTAGAGACGGGGTTTCATCATATTGGCCAGGCTGGTCTTGAACTCCTGACCTTGTGATCCACCCGCTTCCCAAAGTGCTGGGTTTACGGGCATGAACCACCACGCCAAACCAAAATTGAGGTATAATTTAAACAAAATGCACAGATTTAAAATTTGCGATGTAACATTTGGTAACACCCCAATAAAGATATAAAACTTTTCCTTCAGAAAATTCCCTATGCCCCTTTCCCATTAATCCCTCTCATAACTATCGTTCCACTTTTCTCACTATAATTTTGCTTCTAGAAATTTATGTAAATCATACATGTACTTTTTTTTTTTCAGACAGTCTTGCTCTGTCGCCCTGGCTGGAGTGCATGATCTCGGCTCACTGCAGCCTCCACCTCCTGGGTTCGAGCAATCCTCCTGCCTTAGCCTCCTGAGTAACTGGGACTACAAGCATGTCTCATCACACCTGGCTAACTTTTGTATTTTTAGTGGAGACGGGATTTCACCATGTTAGCCAGGCTGGTTTCAAACGCCTGACCTCAAGTGATCCGCCCACATCAGCTTTCCAAAGTACTGGGATTACAGGCGTAAGCCACTGTACCCGGCCCATATATGTACTTTGTATGTTTGACTTTTGCTCAAGTTTTGGAGATTCACTTATGTTGTATTCATAGTCTGTTCCTTGTTACTGAGTAGCATTCCAGTGTTTGAATGTATCACAATTTATCCATTCTCTATTGATGGATGTTGTCAGTCTCCCCCTCCTCCCCTTTAAAGATAATTTTTAGATTAATAATTCTCAGAAATGCTGTTTGGTTAAGGTGTAGCTTTAACTTTGCAAATAATGATTACCGGTAAGTTTTATGTTAAAGCTTTGATGATAGGACCCTTTAATGCCCTTAAAACAAATGGTGGGAATTTTTCATGGTGAAAAGTTTGGTGGGATTAAGGTGTGGCCCGTTGCTATTGGCTTCTCTGTTCCTCTCCCACTGAGAATTTTGTTGAGTTCATTAAGCTTGGTAAATTATTGTGTTAATGACAAATTGAGAAAATGGCAAATTATACCTCGGTGGGTTTTTTGTCTGTTTTTTGAAAAATGTCTCACTCTGTCACCCAGACTGGAGTGTAGTGGTGTGATCACAGTTTATTGCAGCCTCAACCTCCTAAGCTCATATAGCTTGGTTTTTGATGGTTTGGGTTTATTGCTGCATTGGCCATAGCTATGATTAGGGATGAGGAAGGAAGAGGATGAAGTGCTGACTGCTGGGGATGGGGCGACTGACTTGAGTATTTCTGCTTTCATTGAACAAAGTTAACACTGCTTAGAATGAGCTTCCATGTTCACTAGTCAAACACATACCTGAATGTGGGTTGTTCATTTGTCCTTGGATATAGCAAGAGGATCTAGGTAGCTGTTATCCTTTCCATAGGTTGACATATTTAATTCTGACTTTTTCATAAATAATAGAACAATTGCTATTCATTGTAGAGTTTTTCAGACCTTCAAAAGCTGCGTTCTGTTAAAATTGATGCAGTGGTGCCTTTACTACCTAAACAAGCTGAATAAATGAAGACATCTTAATGGCATCAGAATTGGCTTGTTACGGTATGAAAGTCATTTCGTTTTTTCCTTTCAGAATGTACTTTAAAAGCCAAGCTTAATCCTATTAAATCCTATGTGTCCAGTTCTTACAACAATGCAATTTATAACCCTGGATTGAATCATAATGCATAGCATTGTTTTCTAAGTAGCTCTCAAATTACAAGTCTTCAAAACGAATATATTAGGAATGATGAAATTCATATACTCCATGTGTCATTAAAAATGGTTATCCAGTGCATGTAATATTAAGGTCCACACAATTTAGGCTCAGTTATTTAGCCAATATTTAGGTTCATAAATGGTCCCCATCCAACCCTTGACTCCCAGAAGCTCCCTATGCACAGAATGAGAGAAGCATTTCCTTGAGGGTCCACCAGGAACTGTAGCTGCTATTTATGAGTATCAGGTACCCAGCTTCAAAAAGACTGGATATTTCATCTGAGTTCATCTTACTACCCCTACCCAAAGGCAGGTGGAGGAGACAGTTTTCCATCCAAGATCCTGCCCAAACTGATGAATTTCTCTGCTTTTCTTTCTTTTCTTTTCTTTTTTTCTTTTTGAGATGGAGTTTCGCTTTTCTTGCCTAGGCTAGAGTGCAGTGGTGCAATCTCGGCTCACTACAACCGCCTCCTGGGTTCAAGTGATTCTCCTGCCTCAGCCTCCCGAGTAGCTGGGATTACAGGCATGTGCCACCACACCCGGCTAATTTTGTATTTTTAGTAGAGACGGGGTTTCTCCATGTTGGTCAGGCTGGTCTTGAACTTCCGACCTCAGGTGATCCGCCTTCCTTGGCTTCCCAAAGTGCTGGGATTACAGACGTGAGCCACCACGCCCGGCCAGTTCTCTGCTTTTCTAAAATGTACACAGTTCACTGACTCTGCTTGTAACATGCTCAAAGTGCACAAATACTAAAGTCTGAGGTTAGTGATCACATTCAGCCTTTCAGAAACTTTAAACTCTGGGCACTAGCAACAAGCAGCCAAGAAGAGTCAACTGAAGATTTTATCTCATCCGTGGCGATGAACCAGATTGTCTTTTTGAAGGCCAGGAACTGTTTTATTTGCTGGCAGTGTTGCCTCAGAGACCAGCCTTCCAGCATGAACGCTGAGAAGAATGGGAAATGTGACAAGAGACCTAAGCTAGGAAAAACAAGAAGAGGGAAGGGAAAGAATGGTATTGGCAATTACCGTAGTGATTACAGAAGCAGTAATGGGGTCAGGGAGCATCAGATCCTAATAATTTGCACCAGTGACAAGGATGAGCGCAAAGCACCGGAAAGACAGCAGTGAGCTAAATGGTAGCAAGGTAAAGGACTTTAAAAATCATTTTTGGCCGGGCACGGTGGGTCATGCCTGTAATCTCAGCACTTTACAGTGCTGAGGCTGAGGTGGGTAAATCACCTGAGGTCAGGAGTTCAAGAGCTCCCTGGCCAGTGTGGCGAAACCTCATCTCTACTAAAAATACAAAAAAACTAGTTGGGCATGGTGGTGCATACCTGTAATCCCAGCTACTTGGGAGGCTGAGACAGGAGAATCACTTGAACCCTGGAGGTGGAGGTTGCAGTGAGCCAAGATTGCGCCACTGCACTCCAGCCTGGTGACAGAGCGAGACTCTGTCTTTAAAAAAAAAAAAAAAATCATTTTCAAACCCTTATGCGCACATATTTTATGGTAGGGCAGCAGCAATTGACATTAGCATGGCCATTTAGTCCTGGTCCATTAGATAAGCAAAAAGGAAAGTCTTTGAAACTGACCATATGGAAAGGGATCTGTGGTACTCAGAAGGATAGTTTTCTACAAAGAACTTTGCTTAGAAATTATTTTTCTTTGCTCCAAACCTGTAGATAAGTTAAATAGCCTAATTTAGCCTGATGAAAACAGAGATGGGATCATTAAGGCCCTCGTGTCAGGAGAGACAGCTGTGAGACTGAGCAGACCAGAGAGAATGAGGGTTATTAAAGCAGGACCTTGTTGACCATGAAGTCAGAGCCCCGTGGCTCCCGGCATAACCAGAAAACACACTGATGTTGCAGCCATAGTAATACTAACAGTAACCACAACTATTGTTTTTTGTGTACTTACTATGTGCCCGGTTCTGTGAAAAGTACACCGATTACATTTCCTCATTTTATCCTTGTGCCGGCTATTGTCTGGCCCATCAATCCCTTCTTAGGCTGTCTCTGCCCTGCTCTGTGGACCAGGAAGCCATACCCTGCAGGCTGTAGCTCCCAGGGCTCATTTGCCTCCTGATTGCCATTTCAATTCAACAAACAGGTAACACCAGCAGATGATCAGAGGGTGGGATGAGAGAGAGGCCAGGATATTTCTCCCTTATTCCCTCCATGCTGTGGGCTGCATCTCCAGCCTTGGCTGTAACCCTCACACTGTACTGCTCGTCTTCCATGATTCCAGGCCTCAGTGGGCTCAGGTAACATTGTTTCCTTCCTTTGTCCTTTCAGCCTTAGGGAGGGTAATGACTTCTACTGTTGTTAGTCTCCTGGTGCCCCACCATCCTTTGTTTGTTCCTTTACCCTTGTTCAAACCTCTATAAGAAATCCATTCATTTGAAACATCTAGGGTAAAGTCAGTTTCCTGCTGAGACCTGACCAACATAAGCTTCAAAGCAAGTTGAAGTATTATATCCTCTATTTTATCCAGCACAAAGAGGCTAGGTAACATGTCCAGCGTCACACAACAAACAAATTCATGTCTGTGTATTTCAAAGCCTGCATGTTTAATCAACAGCATGCTGCCTGGCCTCTCCATGTAACCAGAATGATTCCTTTGGAATCGAGAAAGTCTGAGGTCTAAGTGGCCAATAAGCAAGTGATTCCTTGAGAAGCAGAAATGAAAATTGACATAGCCCAGCAGTTAACATAGCACACAGGGAATGGAGCCCCCAACAGATGGAAGGAGTGAGCTGGGGGCAGAAAAAACAGAATTATGGTTTTATAGGTTAGAACCAGTTGTTTCTCAGTTATCAGTGCATTGCAGTACACAGGTACATGTTTCTTAGTTCCCTGTTTCAATTGTTGAAGTATTTATTGGTTAGCATAGTCCAGACACTGAGGATAGGTGTTAGGGGTGAAAGGTGGTTAAATGGTAGGG